CAATTATTTAAACCTTTTTAACATTATTAAATGTACATACTGAGGGACTGATATGGGATACACTCATATATACACTCATACTGTACACTCATGTACATACTGGGTGACTTTGTTATGGGATACACTCGTTGGTTCAACTATCTGTTGTTGCTTTCAGTATGGCTATAAGGTCACACACAATGATATTTAAATTCACATTAGACACGCCTAACTTTGAATAAAGCACATAATCACCTGAGATTATCTACTGTCATATAGTTTGTATGTTGTTGCTCCAGCCGCGACGTCACGGAAATAGAAACCATTTCTAAAATAGAAATTTTGCTTGTCGCAGTCGCGGCTAGTTAGGACAAAAACTGATTAACATGGAAAAAATACCTTTTATTGTGTGTTGCGGCGTCACGTCACATGTAGTTAGGACACGGTGTAAAAGTGTAAACAGCAAGTTGGTTGCCAGTCACTGGCAGGTACAGCAATGAGCATGAGGTGTTTACACGGTCATCAAGGATATGCAGAGCGAATGTGGGCAGCCACGCCATGGTTTTCAAAAGTCTCAGTTTTGGTCTGTACACACTGAAACGCAAGCCCGGAGTTTTCAAACTAAAACGGGGTCTGCGGCATTTTCGAAAGTCTCCCTTGAAAACTCCAGAGTAGTGTAAACAACAGGCGTAACCGAAGCAAAAGTTATGCGTTTTAAAACAAAACGCACTAGTGTAAACTTTCTTTGCAGTGATTGGGGGGTTACCAGGGTGTTGCTATGCCATTGTTAATATAATATTTTTGTGCATTTCTGTGTGGTTCCTAGAGTGCTGTGGGTAGTTGCCAGGGTGTTGCTATGCAGTTTTATGTCTGTTCTAAGTGTCACATCTTTATGAATGCTGTGCTGTTGTTGTTGGTTGATAGGGTGTTGCTATGCAGTGAATAATGTGCTCTGAATATTTTTTCGAGCATTGCTATGTGATTCCTAGGGTTTTATGGGTGGTTGCCATGGTGTTTCTATGTGTTTGCTAATGTGATTGGTTTTACTTTGTTGCAATATGGCTCCTATACATAATGTTGTGTGTGGTTTCCAGGGTGTTGTTATGCAGTTGTTAATGTGTTCTGAATATTTTTAGAACATTGTTTTTGGAACATTGTTCCTAGGATGTTGTGGGTGGCTGTCAAGGCGTTGCTATGCACTGATGCAAAAGTGTTCTGAGTGGTTTCAGTGCATTACTAAGCAGTTTCAAGCACTGCTTTAAAGTTAGCCAGTCATAACAGAGTTAATTTATATATGGATATTAAAGCTACAGTATTAAAACAGTCTGTTTAGTTGTAAAGAGCTGAAGGCTATTGTATGAAACAAAAATTAAAATGTAAGGAACTTTGACATCATTAAACATTGGGCTTTGGATAGAATGCTAGAAAACTGTAGATTGTGGCCTCTTTTGGTTTTTAATGAATAGAGCTCTTCTTTCTCCCTCTCCCAAGCAGTAGGGATAGCTTGTTTCCTCTACAGACTGCCATATGCATTAATTATGGATGTGACAGAATATCTCTAAGGACTTTTCTGATAAACACTGATTACATACAACAACAAGCACGGAAACACAAGGGATTGCAATAAACCATACATCAGCGGATGAATATGCAACAAAGAAGCAGCTATGGGAAAAACAGAATAATCTAATGTATCTTTCAAAGCTAACATAAAAAAAAATAAGATTAGAACTAAGACTCGATTTAAGATTTAATTAAGGCAAGACTCCTTCAAACGGAAGCTGTATCTCCTGGTACTTTGTTTGAGGCGCTTTATTAAGAATAAGAGACTTAGCACAGGCATTTAGCGCTAGATCTGTATCAAAGTGAGGTTTCGTGAAGTACGTGTTGCTGAATTTTTAAAGGTTTGGAGAAAGCCTTGGAAAGAAGTCTGCAGGGCTTCCTTTGATCTGTTCCGACACCCTCCTGATATTTATAGTGCATATCAGCTCAGGGTCAACCTTTGTGTAAACTTCTTTAATAAATTAATTTACATTATATTAGGTCTGATTATTCACTATTTAAAATTCTCAAACTCGTTTGAAAATGAAGCCGGTAATGAGATTTCAATAGAGCATTTCATCTGCATTTCAGACTCTTTGCTATGAAATGAAAAGACTGTTTTTTAATATTCATTATATTTTTCACTCTTAAGTACAGAGAGAGAGAGATAAAGAAGCCTCGTTTTGATCTGAAAAGGTTTTGAGCTCAGGAGATTTGGATGAAACATAACTGAGAATCTTATCAATTATCAGCTTTATCTCAAATGTTTCTGAATAAAAAAAAAAAAAATAATAAAAAGAGCTCAGCTCTTGATTAGTTTCTCACTTAAGATACAAATATTGTATTAATATTTAAAAAAAATGTATAATTATATACAATTTTTTTTTTATATGAATATAAATTGTTTTAAGTTACAATAATGTCCCTACTCTCTTCTTCAAAGCCAAGGGCTAATATATCCTTTTGCATCTGTCTTTTTTTTTTCTTTTTTCTTTTTTCTTTTTTTTGTCAGAAAGAAAATAGATAAAAATACGATATTTAAAAAATATGTATAATAATGTAAAAAGTTTATATGAATCATTTATGCATCATTTATTTTAAAAAATACAATAATAAACAGCAGCAACAACAACAAAAACAACAATAATAATAAGGGGAAAATTAATTATAAATAAAAAAAATTATATAATAATAATTAGAATTGTTGTTAAATCATTCTACAAATATACATATAATAATGTAAAATATTGTACAAAATTACAATGATAAACAAATATATTAATGTAATGATGATATAAATATATAAATAATATATTTATAATAATATAAATAAGTAGGGTGTATTTCACCTCAAATTATCTAATCACTATGTTTTTTTTTTTTTTGTAATTAAAAAGTTTGTTTCTATGCTTCTGGAAAAAGGGCATTAGATAAAAACCAAAAAGGTCAAAATCAGGTGTTTCACAAACCTAATCTTCTTTCTGCAATAACAAACATGGCCAGGACTGACCAATCCTGCTGCGCATTTCATTGGCAGAACTAATTGCATTAAATCAAGGCTACGACCAAAAACCTTTTAGCGTTCTGCATTGAGCCGCCATAGAGCATCCATCCATTACTCTCATGTCCAGCTGCACCAAAACGAAACAGCAGGGGTTTTTAATATTTACAGGGCACGATGAACCTTTAATGGGCTTGAACAACTCTAAACGCACAGATGAGGCCTGCTCCAATATTAATGCTGTTCGGAATGAAAACACACAGCGTGATACCACTCTCATTTGTTGAGCGGGATGGGAAGAGCATGACTGTTTAGAGCAAACATGGGCTCAGTGAATACCACAGATGAAAGCATAACCTATAAGTAATAAGACATACGAGACTTGTATTTCCATCACGGCGACAGACAACATGGAAATGGATCTGTAATGGTCTGCAATGAATCAAATATATTGAGGAAGATAAATAAAGTGGTGTCTTTTTACCGTTTTACATTTGCAATAATCAATAAATTGCTTTGATGTTATAAACTCTCCTGTATGAAAGAAAAATGACAAAGGAGTTTACTCAGTATAGTTACTCATTATATATTACTCCTGGACCCCAATAATTAGACTACTGGAGACTTTTATTAAAAGCTTCTCTGATTTTTATTCTGTGATAAAGGAATCTTATAATCGCACAGTTTTAGAGACCTCAATAGCTATGTTTTCATCACCCTGTTTTTATGCGGATTTTGAAGTACCGCATCAGAAACGAGTGATGGAAATGCCAAGTTTTGAAAAACAAATCCCCTTAATTTACAAAAATGTTTTTATACTGGCTTGAGGTGGACTAAGGGTTAATGCGAATATGGGAGATGGAAACACATTTACCGAATAAATTCCTCCATGCGCATCAAAAAAGTCAAATCCCTTTGACTTGTTGGATGAAAACAGTCCTTTATTCGCAAATATTTTATGTAATATTACAATTTTGCGCATAGTTAAATTCACAGCTTTAGATGGAAACATAGCTAATGTCTCAGAATGTGCTCAGATTTGCTAAAACAAGAAATAAAAACCACAAATGAGATCTCTTTAATATTTTGATTGTTTGTCCTAGACAGCAACAAAAAAATATTTGGAGATGTTTTCGCTTCTCATGTTTTTCCTGAGAGAAAAATCCTCTCTGAGTTTTCTTAAGAGATCTCAACAACCTCTCAAACTGTGCTCAGATTTTGATAAATATCTGGAATCTAATCTCTATATTGCAATAGAGAATAGGTTTTTTTTTTTCTAGACAGCAATGAGATTAAATAGAGAACATACAGAAATTTTACCTCAAGTCTCGTATACTTCTCAGAGTTTTCTCCTGAAACAAGCCTAGTAATCTCATGTTTCCCTTTCATGGGAACTTCGAACTGCGTCCTCTAGGGGTCGCTATGGGGAAACCTAGAGGACGCAGTTCGAAGTTCCCATGAAAGGGAACGTCTCAGGTTACGTATGTAACCATGGTTCCCTGAGTAGAGAACGAGACACTGCGTCCTCTAGGGGTCGCTATGGGGAAACCTAGAGGACTCAGTGTCTCGTTCCCTATTTAGGGAACCATGGTTACATACGTAACCTGAGACGTTCCCTTTCATGGGAACTTCGAACTGCGTCCTCTAGGTTTCCCCATAGCGACCCCTAGAGGACGCAGTGTCTCGTTCTCTACTCAGGGAACCATGGTTACATACGTAACCTGAGACGTTCTCCTCACAACATGTGCTCCAGCTTCTAGAAAAGAAAAAAATCACAGACGAGGTCTATATAATGACTCAAAATAGCAACGCAATAATAGAGAACAAATGTGGATTCTTATAGCAAGTCTTCTGCATCTCAAAACATTCTTCTGAGATAAAAGACCTGAATAATCTAAACAACAGGACATAACAATAAGAAATGAGATCTTAATATCTCAGTTATTCACATTTTTCTCCTGAGAATACTATGTTTCAGTGTTTGTCTCTGAGTTTTCAGAAGAGATCTCAACAATGTCTCAAACTTTGCTCAGATTTGGTATATTTAGCAAAATACAAATAGGAAATGAAAAATAGTAATTTCAGTAATTTCTCAATTGTTTATCTTAAGAAGAAATTATATAAAATGGAGAGCAGAGAGAAATTTTTCATCAATCTCCTGCTTCTCAGTTTTTTTCTCATGGGGGGGAAAACAAAGGATCATAGTAATCTCATGTCTCTCCTCTTAGAGTTCTAGAAATGTACATATTTGTTAAACTTTTGTCAGATTTAACATCTCCTAGAAAAGAATAATCACAGATTAGATCTCTTTAATAGCTTAACTGTTTCTCCAAAACACGAATGAGATAAAGTAGAGAGCAAATTAAGATTCTGCGTAAATCTCCTGAGAAACAACCCTAGTAATGTCATCTCCTATAAAGTCTATAGTTTTAAACTCTGCTCAGATTTGCCAAAAAACTCAAGTCTAAAATCAAGAGTCAAATCTCAATATTATGAACTCAAACATGTCTTATTCAAGTTCTTATGGTTATGTAATTCGCAGTCACTTTATAGTTCTATACTGATACAATTTATCAAACATTAGGCCTATTCATGTTCATCCTAATGACTTTCTGAAGAATATTCCGAGACAAAGTCACAAAGACCACTGAGAACTTTGCTGAACTAAAAAGGAGCAAACTTTAAGCCATAAAATGAATTGTTCCTCTAGGTGGATCTATAATTGTAGTGAAACAAGCTTTGTATTTATATCCTTGTGGGGACTCCCATTCACATTTATCATTCGTAATCGTAATTACTTTACGCTAACCTAGACCATAAAATGCAGTTAAAATACATTTAGTATGGTGTGACTGTATTGTTTTCTCCCTGGATCGAATGTTTCTGCTTTTATTATTCTAATTAATAATTTACTTTAGATAAAAATGTATTTGTAAGTGAATAAATATAACTTTTGGCACAAGTTGGGTCTTTTGAGGACATTTTCAGACATTTCAACCCTACATTGATAGCAATCCAGTGTATTTATATAAAGCTGCTACCAATCCCCCTTGACCGAAAACATTTGTCCGTGGAGTCCATTCTGCCAAATAAGTTCTCAGTGCAGTGAGTAATCTGTGGATTCAGGCACTTTCCAAACCCTTTAGAGACTGTGTGAAATGAAGTTGTTTTGTGCAACGGTTCACAATCATAATCAACCCTCGGTCAGAGGTCTGACGCCATGGCCGCTAAAATCCGACTGTTAAAGTGCCCTTTCTTCCTGAAATCAATGAGTTAATTGATTATCGTACACGAGCAAACCATCTCCACGTTCTCTCGTCGCTGCGTTTTCTGGATCATTGAACATTTGTGGCCGCAGGTGGCCGTTTTCCTCGCCAATCTAATATAGGCCTTTATTATTGTCTGTTTAATATCCTGAGCGATCCGGAGCCTGATATCGGAATGATAGGATATGAATAAGAATCCGGGTGAGATGCGGTGCAGTGAAATGAGCATCACTTAAAATCTCATCAGGCTCACACACTCACAGCTCTTTAACCTCGAAAATTCCCACTTTTCCAAAATGGTGGTTTTTATGTTGTGTTCTTGCATCGTTTCTTTTTTTTTCTTCTCGGATGAATGAAGTTTAGTTTATGGACTTTTATTTTACTGACAGCATGTGAATAACTATATATGCATGTTTTCTTCAACGCCAAGGTCATGGGTTAAATTCATATATATATAAGATATAAGAAATACATATAGAAATACATATAAGAAATACATATAGAGATGAAATTATACTTTACATGCACATTGAATAGACGTGAGGACCAAATTAATTAATGTAAATGAAAAGTCACATACAAAAAGGTCTTGGCTGAATATCTTATATACTGCAGCGTGTTGAGAAAAAACGCCAAGGGTTTGATTCCCATAATGACAGGATGTCGACCTTGAATGCATTGTCAATCGCTATGGATTGACATGTTGGCCAAACAAATTAATATACATTCTTACAGGAAAATCTAATACAAATACATTACACATAAATATATAGAAATGTCTTCCATACTGTAGCGTTAAAGGGATAGTTCACCCTAAAATTAAAATGTTGTCATCATTTACTCACCCTCAAGTTGTTCCAAACCTGTATGAGTTTCTTTCTTCTGCTGAGCACAAAAGAAGATATTTTGAAGAATGTTGGTAACCAAAGAGTTGACGGTAGCCATTGACTTATAGTTTCTGTATAGCTACTATATTCCATAGTATGGTATATATATATATATATATATGTATATATATATATACACACACACACACACACACACACACCAAATTACTGTACATAAGTCAACATAAAACTGGTAATGTTAATTTTTTAAGTCTGTCTACTCAAGTAGGCCTACTAAGCTTCACTCAGAAATCCCCTTTAGTCACAGTTGGAAATTTCATAAAGTCACACTAATAAGAAGCAAATTATTAATTAAGTAAGTGATAAGTAATTCAAGAGTGTTCTAGGGGGAAAAAATAGGACGTTTATCAACAGCAGCTTGCTGACACTTGACGTCATTTGTTATTGGACCTGCACAGTTTGAATAAAATACGAGAAGGCTTCTCACCGAGTGACATATTGCCAGTGGTAGACTCTGTTTGCGGGGTCGTATGTTATGTTTGTTTTCTTGCTTCGCTAGTGTTGGCTCTAACCGCGCTGTCATTCTCATCATTAAATTACTGCGTAGTTGCAGCCTGGAGTTCATTAAAGCCACCGGGGTTGACCGGTGAATACGGCGTATACGTGAAGAAAAGGTTATAAGAGACATATTTCCCCTTCTCTCCAGAGTAAAAGTTAATTGACAACTGTATGATATTACATTTCCGCACAATGCTGCATCAGCAAATTCCATCTGTGTGTTCGACTTGCGATGTGTTTGTTTGTGTGTCACGCACGCGTCTCATTTTTCATGGAGTTCAACTATCGAAAACTTCACGTCTGCTCTGAAAACTCATTTCTTCTCTCTCTCTCTCGTCCACTCGCTCTCCCCAATAATCACCCACAAGCCATCTGTTCGTCTCCGCCCCTGTAACCGCTGTGGGAATGCTGACACTGTGTGTCCCCTCACGTCCTGACTGATGTGGGACAGTACTGACTTCTAGTGACTTTCACTCACACAATCCAACCGCCAAGATTGGCTATCCGGATTTGGCAGAGATGAACGGCCGCCAAACGCCCTGTTGAGGGGGAAGGAAGAAAGAGAGAGAGAAAAATCTACAGAGAGAGAGAAAGAGAGAGAGAGAGAGAGAGAGAGAGAATTTTTTTTTTTTTTTTGAATTTACAAAGACTTTATTTACAACAAATCTCCTACTTACAATTACATAAACTCAAGTAATAAGTATCAAGTTACAACTCAATACAAATCAATAAAGTGCAAAAATTAATTCATCTTCAAAAATGTGTGAAGTGGTACCAATAAGAATCTTCTTAATGGGTGACACCAGCTTTCCATAGCGGGACAAAATCTTTACCAGTGTATCATTAGAAACAAAAGGTGGAATATTAGACAATGTAACTCCACACTCATGCCGCTCTGAACACTCACACTCACACGCGCACCGGAAGAGAGAGAGAGAGAGAGAATCCATGCAGTTAAAAGATGTAAACCTTGCACGCATCAAAGTCTCTTTGGCTTTCTCTTCCAAGAGATTCTGGAGAATAATTTTTCTTGTTTCCAAAACTTCAATGCACATGCGCGCGCACACACACACAGAGAGAGAGAGAGAGAGATAGTAAGATATTATTTATGTTTGAGGAGCCACAGATGCATTTGTTTTATGAAAGCCCATTTCTGCCACAAAAAAAAAAAAAGTGACTTTATATCTCAGAATTTTGAGTTTATATCTGGCAATTCTGAGTTTATATCTCACAATTCAGACTTTGTTTCTGGCAAATCTGACTTCTGAATTCTGAGTTTACATCTCACTTTTAAAAAATTCTATTATACTGTATATGATATTGTATTGTATTTGGTTTTGTTTCTGCTATGGAATAAAAATATTAAAAAGGTAACTGTGACATTTTATCTCACAATTCTAATAAAAAAATCCAGAATTGTGAGACAAACTCAGAATTCAGCCTTTTTTTCGCAATTCTGTGTTTACATTTTACAATTCTGAGTTTACATCTCACAATTCTGTTTTCCACCACAGAATTAAAGGGGTCATATGATGCCATTTCAAATTTTCCTTTCTCTTTGGAGTGTTACAAGCTGTTCATGCATAGATAAGATACCTAAAGTTGCAAAGACTAAAGTCTCAAACCCAAAGAGATATTCTTTATAAAAGTTAAGACTTGTCCACGCCCTCCTAAAACGCCTCGTTTAAACACGCCCCCACATGTCTACATTACTGTGTGGGAAGATTTGCATAACACCGCCCAAATGTTTACGCAAAGAAAGATGATGTAACTTTGATTCTCGCTTTAGTAGACACGGCATCACAATATGGTAAGGGGCATAACATTTGTCACACGCTTGAGGTATTCGGCCAATCATAACACACTGGATAGCTGGCCAATCAAATACACAACATAATGTTATGCTTAGCAACGTCATATGACCCCTTTAAAAAAAAAAAAAAAAAATTGAATTGCGACTTTTCACAATTCTAACTTTTTTCTTGCAATTGCGAGTTTATATTTTACAGTTCTCAGAATTGTGTTTACAGTGTATTTCAAGTTTGTCAAGTTTTTTTTTTTATTTGGTGAGAAAATTCGTAAACTAGTTACATATGATTCGTAAAACTACTACATTATTTTTATTTTGAAATACAAATTGTACATAATATTTAGCAAAAATATACATATCTTGGCCAATCAATATCTTGGTTCCTACTCATTCATCAAATTGAAAACAGAAGGTCAAGGCAATGCATTCCATTTTGGGATACGGTATTTTGCCCAGTGTGCACTGGTTGCATACTGCCGTCATGTAGTAGGTCATTTAGTTCAACTATTCCATATGCATATAGAAAATGTACATATGTGCACAGCATAAACACTTCCTGCAAAAAAAGAGAAAGTTATATCCATTGAATAACTCTTTCACAGCTCTCCATATTACAGCATTTATGGCACATTTCTAAATCCATCAATAAAATTGTTTTCATCAAATGCCCACAATCTGCACAAGTGCCTGGCTGAGAATTATAATGAACTGGATTTTGTTCATAATCAATTGCATAGTCAATCTGCACTTTAAAAATGTCTCGGCCATTGAAAGAAGGGATTAACCTCATTATTCAGGAAATTAAATTAATGAAGTAGATAAGCATAGCCTTGCACACTGAATAATTCATTCACACGGTATTAACGTCCCTCTGCCCTGGCCCTCATCAGAATAAACACACTGACCCCTGTTACACGTTACACTGTTGCCAAGCACTCCATGATTATGGTATATTAGTATTGTATATCCACAGCAAAGTTTAAAGGCTGTTGAACTGTGGTGAAGGGCTCTAACTGAAGATTTAAAACACTTAGAAGTGTTACAAACTCAAAACAATATATATCTTTTTTTGGTTTATTTTCCACCAATAAACAAAGAAACAAACAAAAACTGGCAAAAATGTATTTCAAATATATGCTTATACATTTTTAGGGAATATTTTAACATTAAAAATATAAATCACAACTAAATGTAAAAAATGTACTTCAAGGGGCCGCAACATACATTTCCAATCTTAAAATAAATTTTTATATATTAAGATATATATGTAAATAAAAAAAATATATTACTTGAAATAAAATAAATGTGAACTGAAATAAAAAGGTAACACTTTACAATAAGGTTCATTAGTTAGCGTTAATTAATGCATCAACTAATATAAACTAACAATGAACAATATATTTGTTACAGTATTTATTCATCTCTGTTAACGTTAATTAATAAAAGTACAACTGTTAGTTCATGTTAGCTCAGGTCCATTAATTAATATTAACAGATGCAACTTTGGATTGTATTAATGTATTAGTAAATGTTGCAATGAATCAGAACTGAGATTAATAAATGCTTTACATGTAAAGTAATGATAACAAATGGAACCTTATTGTGAAGTTTTAACATAAAAAAATCAGCTTGATGTACTAAAATAACTTTTATTTAAAAAATATAGAGATAACAAACCTACAAAAAGACACAAAAACAACAACAACAAAAAATGTAAAATTGAAATAAAAAAAGAAAATATACAAATAAAAGCTGATTCACAAAATAAATACTGAAAC